GTCTGTGCACAGACTGTGTGTTCAGCCGCATTTACTGCAGTGAGCACTTGTACACTTGCACACACGTGTTTTTCTGACATGCTATTATTTTTATGCGGATCTAATGATATTTTCTGTCTCCTAACCCTGAACCCAAACAGTTTTATTGTTAGCTAATTAAAATGATCTATTAAGCATATTTTTTGTTAATGAAATAAAGCTAAAATAAAATTAAATATAAATATTAGCTGAAAATTTTGAAATGTTGCCTGAAATAAAATGAAATAAAAATATTTGTTGAAGTACTAGTAAAATTACCAAAACTTATCCAGTGAAAATGACATTCATAACATCTAAAAACACTGAATTAATTTATTTTATTGGCTTAATAGCATAAAAAAACATTTTGTATGTCATATAATATATAAACTGTATACAATCAGTTCTACAGATTAATCTAATCTAATATAACAATATCATAGAAACTATAATCAGTAACATGCAGTAAACTAATATAAAAATACAATATATAAACTGTAATAATCAATCAATTATACAAATTAATCTAACACAATCAAATCAAATCTAATATAAAAATAAAATTTTCAAATAAATAAAGTAAAATATAATAAACAGTAACAAACTTTATTTAAAAATTTGTTAATTTTAAATTTTGCTTTTAAAAATGATTTTGTCACAACACAGAAGCATTTAAACTAGTGAAGGGTGACTAAAAATGTCATTTTATAATCTCTAAAAACACTCTTTCCTGTTTTATATGTATATAAAGTTTAACATAAACTCTTGTTTTGACAGATCTTTTGATACAAATGATATATTTCATTAGCTTAATAATATAAAAGGCACGTTTTTATAATCTATAATCTGAATCTATCAGTTTGCCTGCAGTCATGAGATGTTGTTCTTCTTCCGGAGTTCATAAAGATCTCGTGACCGTGTGTGTGCAGGTCTTTCTGTCAGTCGTACGACATGAAGCAGCACTCCACCAAAGTCTTCAGAGACATCGTCAACGCTCTGGGCTCCTTCATCCAGTCGCTCTTCATCCTCCCCGGCGCAGGAAACACCTCGTCCACCAGCACGCCTGCAGGTCACACACACACACACACACACAGTCTGGTTCACTGTCCTTGTAGGGACTCTCCATAGGCGTAATGGTTTTTATACTGTACAAACTGTATTTTCTATCGCCCTACACCAACCCTACCCCTAAACCTACCCCTCACAGAAAACTTTCTGCATTTTTACAATCTCAAAAAAAAACCTCATTCTGTATGATTTATAAGCTTCTGTACCCATGGGGTACAATTTAGGTCCCCACCGTGACACAAGTCCCCATGAGTTGGTGTGTATTCAGGTTTAAGTCCCCACCAGTATAGAAAAACCTACACACACACACACACAATACACACAGGCTGATATAACTGGGCAAATATTCTTTCTTTTTTTCCCAAGTGCTTTATTGTCATGGCTGTACAAATAAAACAGGAAGAAAATATTACATATTAGCATTCATATTATTAGGCTTATTACATTTAATATAACTAATTAATTATAAATAATTATTACCTAATATATTAAATATAAATAAACAAATAATTACAAATATATTATGCATACGTACATAGATATTGATATAAATGTATGCACGCGCACACATGTACACATGCGCACACACACACACACACACGCACACATGTACACATGCGCACACACACACACACATGCACGCACACATGCGCGCACACACACATGCACGCACTCACACGCACACATGTACACATGCGCACACACGCACTCACATGCGCACAGACATACATGCACACTCACACATGCGCACACACGCACACACATTCACACACACACACACACACACACACACACACACACACACACTCTCACACACACTCACACACTCTCACATTCACACATTCTCACACGCACACATATGCACACACATACATGCACACACACACACGCACACACACACGCACACATGCGCACGCACACACACATACACACTCGCATGCACACATGCGCACGCACTCACACACACACACGCACACATGCGCACGCACACACACACACACAC